ATTCATTTGCATTGTCAATGGTGTCATGTCACCTGAATTGAATATAACGTGCTGAATTCAGTAGCTTTTCAAATTCTGACAGTCCAGACCTAATGTCTCCCAGCTATCTACTCCAAAGTGAAGTAGAGGTATAGTGTTGAAAGTATTTAATCAAATACCACACGAGCAGACGGGGTTGTGTCAACACGGTTTTGGGCGTGGGGAATGTACAATCTTATCTCCGCGAGAAACGTCCTCTATAAACACCACCCAAAACAACAGAGTTATTCCAGTGAGCGACACAATATTAACTTTAAGTTCTATTAGTGACACAAGCGTTTCTCAAGCATGTCCTGCTTGACCGCATTGATTTTTCCATCACAAGGGATAAATATTTTAATGTCAAAACAATTACGGATCTTTATAATGTAAATTATCATTTAATAATTGAATTTTCAAAGGCAATAGAATTATTGTATACGTTTTGAATAATATGTTTTGTAAATAGATAAATGGTATTTTAATCATGGTAGTATGAATTAGCAGCTGCAATTGTTAGTGGCTGTATCCTCAAAGGGGGTTACAGTGTCGTAAAATCATTGTCCTTCTGAGAGGGTACATAAGTCCCAAAAACTTTCAAAGTCAATTTCGCTCAACCATACTTTTAATCATAGCATTTATGTTGTTTAAAATTTTGGCTAAATCTTCCTACCAGCGGCTGAAGGGGTGGTGTAAATCCAACTGGGGTCCATGCAGTTATCAAAAGTAATGTAAGTCCCCATGATTCCTAGTATGGTGATCTACCTTCAGTTGTTGGCGATATATAGCCCGTGTTTTGTATTGTATTGTCTTCTTCAATTAAAATGTTTTAGATTTACATGCTAGTTTTATATTCATATCTGTGATACTCTAGTATTTTTACTGTCCATCGTCGACAGGTTTTACTCTTCAAAAGGTTTTTATTTTTTTAAACATTTCTATTGTATAAATTGTTTTATGGCGGAGATAGTGCCGATTTGACCTTAAATATTAACTCATTCACTCATTCGCAGGCGTTTCCTTAACCAGTAAAGCGACACATTTACATTATAGGTAAGAGTAGATGTATTGTACAAACTTTGTTATTTTGAAGGTGGTTAAATCAGAGAGGTCGTGGGTTTTCACCTTGTTGAACCTTTATTTGTTGCGTATGTGTTATCTGTCATAAATGTACCGGTACTAAATATATTTAAATGAATAGTGGTGAAGTTTTCATGCATATTGGTGAGTTTTCATAAGGTATGCGAGTCTGATAACGTTGCCTACAGGTGATTGTGATGTCGTCATAGCTGTGTTAACCTTTGCTGACCTATGATGTCATGCATTCATTTGCATATTCATGAGTTTCCTTGCCTTATTATGATCAAGTGACTTGGATGACATTATGTGATCCACCTTGATCCCCCTGATCCCCCAAATGTTGTGTCTGCTGAGCTCCCACCCAATATACTATTGATATGCATGTCAATTCAGTCAACCACATATACATGCGCAGCGCTTCACGACGTCAGTGGTTTCGGCATGGGGATGTGCAACACGTTCGTGCATGTGCATCTCGATACACTGAGTCGAGCACATGAGTATCAAAAACTGCTGCAGATTTAGGAAGCTTAATTGTTTGAAATTGATGATTCCACAAATCAAATAGGCAGTGTACTTTACGTCAAGCCACGACGCATGAATACACAACGTCATGAGGCTACTGTAATGGTCCAGGGTTGGGGATGGCTCAACGTTAGGGGACTGCACATTTCCATTTCATCGCAGATGAGACGTTATCAGAACAGTTATGAAGTTGCTGATCGCCCACGAGCAGGACGTCCATTTGTCGCGAGTCCAAGACAGGACAAATAGATACGGATGACACATCTCCGTCACGTGCTCCAGACTTCAGTGACCACTGCCCAGACTATTCCAGACCACTCCGATGTGTCCACCCAACACAGCCAGGAACCGCTTACGTCATAACGAGATACGACCAGACGCAACGTCATCGAGAAAAACTGTCAAAGGTGTAACCAAAATAATCTCCATAAACTTCGGTTGTTGAAGAACTGCTGCTTTGGAAGATAAGTCCACATTTCCTGTAATGGCAGATGTCCACACCAGAGAAGACTTTATTTGTTGTTCAGGCCAATGGGTGTCCACTACATCAGATATTCGGACATTTATGTGGAATTGACAGTAGTATCTTACTGATATAATGATAAAGCATGCTCAGTTACAATAGCATGTTACAAGTATGTTTCTTTTTCCAGAAAATTGGAACGTTCAAGGTGCAAGAGATCATGCAAGTGTCGGAAGCCAACATGTTTCTGGGAAAACATATAATAATGGTAACTGATATATTTACAACTAATCAATAGATGAAAGATGTTTTAAGAGATCAGTGGCGCCGACTTTACATTATCCTCCTTTGAAATTACGTCATCAAATTACCTCCCATCCTTGGAAAACATCATTGTTTTAGTGTTTTCTATGTTTGCCTGGCCCTCCGTTCGACATTTTCGCCCTTAGGAAACTCGTAGGTGTATAAGGTTAATTCAGATATCGATAAAAATCCGGGTCAGAAGTTGTCTTCAGTAGCCATGCTTGTGATGTCAATTCCTGGTCATATTGACTATATGGTCCAAACTCGATTACTTGTAGACTACCCTAATAAGGTTGACAAATTACCGTATGTGGCGTTACAAAACATTAGGGTGATACCATGACCCAGCCCCTGGATTCATGTACGTTACTAACTACACATAGGGGATGATCGAACTGTATTACTTAAATTATCAATAGGAAGTAGTTTGGATGTTTGGGATATAAAGCTATGATACCGTTTGGTTGTCTCATGATAAAACCATTTGCAAACTCTTTGATGTGGTAGGATTGAGTAAATAACTCAGTCATAATAGTAACCATGTTTTCACAAATACCGTTACTGGCATGTTCTGAGGATAGGTATTACAAGAAAGTACCACCAATTTTGTGGCTTCTGTTTTTTGTTAAGAGGAATACTTTTTATGCATAGACAACTTATTTAGTGCAATAGATGTGATGTTTCGGTGTAGATCCTAAAACCGTTATCAAGCAGGTCAAATGCTCCTCGTCATCATACCAGGTTCTAAATTCCATTTGAAAAAGGTTTTCTTTTTCTTAAAATGCTTAATACTCTCTCTGTCCCTTGCACTATGAACAGTGCAGCAACAGGAAATATTCTTTTAAAAATATAAATCTCATCATTTGAAACGGCCCGACCATGATCGAAAGAAAATACTTACATATAGATACTAGAATCCGGCCGTAAAGTTATTTCTGTCGACCAGTGGTTATTTGTCATGTAGGTTCGTCCGGTGAAGGACTTAAACATGCACATACTTTAATAGCATTGCTACCAACGTCTGTGGAAGATTATATAATCTATGTTTCAATTTTCAGACATTAAAAAATTATTACACAGCAAACATATTTCACGCAACACCCGAGGGACTGTCTGAGTCTCTATCTGCCAGAGACAGAAGAAGAGCTCCAAGTGGGTTACTTTCATATCTTTCTATCATTTATCACTCCATTCAGAATCAAGCTAATCAACCTACAAGCCGCACAGTTTCTGACTGACGGACTGACTGAGTTTGGTTTTACGCCGCTTTTAGCAATATTCCAGCAACATCAAGGCGGGGAACACCAGAAATGGGCTTCACACGTTGTACCCATGTGGGGAATCGAACCCGGATCTTCGGCATGACGAGCCAACACTTTAACCACTAGGCTACCCCCACCGCCCCACAGTTTCTGAATTAGTTAGAACCACCTGATCGTACCTTTACGCAATGTATTTTCTACATATACTACATCCACTTTGGTTAGGATCACCATTCAATGTATCAAGCCAGTTGAACTATCTGAATACAATATTGTGTAGAGAAGAGTGAAAAAGAAAAACATGTTGCCGTTTGTCCCCACTAAGCCAGCAGAAACATTTCATCAAGAATCAGTCTGAACATGCATCAAAATGAGAATATCTGATCACAACTGAAACGTTGAAATACACTAAAACAAATTAGTCGTCCAAAAACACATCTCTCAGTAGTGTGTATGTGATCACACCATGGCAACTTCTCCGTTGCTCCCAGTAAGTGTCTGGATATTTGCTGAGGGGAAGGCTGTTCCACTCTTCAGTAAGAGCATGACCGAGTTCCAGTACGTCATGATCGAGGGTGATGTGTAGGTAGATCCAGATGTGTACGACACGGTTGATTTCTGCTGACCTAGTTGCCCATCCCATGAAGACAGGGCCTCCTGCACTATGTAAGCTCCAATGACCCTGGCACGATCAGGTCATGTGTTATCATCCATGTAGATTAAGTCTGGTCTGATTTTACCATCATGCGTTCTCACGAACGTATTCAGAACGCCATCAATGCATATTAAATCTGGTCTGTCATTCAGCATGGCATCCCTGCAGCGCACTTCTTACCGAGCTGATCCCCATCACTGATGTTGTGACATATTTCGTATCATTGCAGATATTGAACACCATGGGACATCATCTCGGCGAGATACCATCATTCAAAAACACCCAAATCAAATGTTCAACAAAGCTTGCTTTGAGGGAAATAATAATCGAGTGAAACAACTCATATCCAAAGGAGAAGTGGATATCAATAACGTAAGCCCGGGAGGATTTACACCCGTGATGATTGCAGTATCTAAAGGACACAAACAAGTTTTCAATACTTTACTGAAAGAAAAGTGCGATCTTTCATTGATGTTAGATAATGGTGAAGATGTACTTCATATGGCATGTTCTGGCAGCAATGCTGATATTGTCAAAGGGTTGGTTTCAAATGGGGGAAATAAGTCTTGAGAGAAAGGACCTGTCAGGTAAAACTCCGCTGATGAAAGCAGCGTGCAGTGGAAATAGGAAAGCGTTTGACTTACTAGTAGATGAACAATGTAATTTGACGTCAATAGATTATAACGGGAACAACATGCTTCATGCTGCGTGTTCTGGTGGGTCCGTGTTTATCGTAAACTATCTCCTGAATCATAAGGTAGCTGGCCTAGAGAGTAGAGGTGAAGATGGGGAGACCCCAGTGATGGTGGCAGCAAAGAACGGACAGAAGCAAGTGTTTGATATCCTTGTGAAGAAAAGATGCAACCTGTCAGTTGTGGATGATCTAGGTGACACTGTTCTCCATGCTGCATGTTGTAGTGACAGTGTGGATATGGTCACAAACCTTCTGTCAAAAAAGATGGTCGACATTGAGAGCAGAGGTGAGGATGGGTTAACACCAGTTATGTGCGCAGCAATGGAAGGGCAGACCGAGGTGTTCAATGCACTGGTAAGTCAGGGGTGTGACCTTTCCGTGGTTGATGATGAGGGTGAAAATATCCTGCATGCTGCTTGTTACAGTAACAATGTCACGATCGTTAAGGACATCCTTTCACGGAAGTTAGTTGACATCAACAGTAAAGGTGATGATGGAGACACGCCGTTGATGGTGGCAGCACGAGAAGGCAATAGGAAAGTCTTTGATCTTCTCCTTTCAAAGGACTGTGATCTCTTGGAGGTTAGTGATGGTGGCAACATCCTTCATGCTGCATGTCTCAGCAACGATGCAGTATTAGTTAAGGACATTTTGTTACGTGGTATTGCTGACATTGAAAGTAAAAATAACAATGGAGCAACACCAGTGATTTTGGCAGCAGAGGCAGGTCAAAGAAAGTATTTGATCTACTTGTGGGTGAGGGGTGTAACCTAAAGGTACAAGACGAAGATGGTTGTAATATTCTCCATGCCGCTTGCAGTAGTGACAATGTAGAGATTGTTGAATATCTCCTATCAGGTGAGATAGCGGACATTAACAGTAGAGATTCGAACGGGTTCACGCCTGTCATGACAGCAGCAATAAATGGCCACAAGAAAGTGTATGATCTCCTTGCTTGGAAAAGATGTGACCTGTCAGCAGAAGATTATACCGATAATAATATTCTGCATGCAGCTTGTGTGAGTGATAACGTTAATTTCGTTAACTGCATCCTTTCACGTGAGATAGCTGACACAGAGAGCAGAGGGGGAAGAAGGGCAAACACCCGTGATGGTGGCGGCAGTCAATGGTCAAAGGAAGGTGTTTGATCTATTGGTCCAGAAAGGGTGTGATCTTTCTGTGAGGGATGATAATGGGAACAACATTCTTCATGCAGCTTCTTTTGGTGGTGACATTCAAATTGTTGAGGACCTCCTCTCGCGTGACTATCTCCTGTCTCGTAATATTATTCATATTGACAGCAGAAATAACACAGGTTGGACACCAGTGATGTTAGCAGCTGTGAATGGACGAAAAGAAGTTTTGACCTGCTGGTGAAAAACGAATGTGATCTGAAGGTGTTTACTTTCTCAAGGACAATAACAACATGCTACATGCTGCATCTTATGGAGGCAGTGTCCAGATTGTTGAGAGTATTCTTTCACGTAAAGTAGCTGACATGGAGAGTAGAGGAGAAAATGGTGCAACACCGGTGATGTTAGCAGCAAAGAGTGGACAAAGGAAAGTCTTCGATCTGCTGGTGAGGAATGACTGCAATTTGTCAGAGAAAGATGACTCAGACAGAAACATACTCCATTATGCTTGCGTAAGTGACAATGTACAGATTGTGGAGTACATCATCTCACAAGGCTTAGATGATCTAAACAGCAAGGATGAAAATGGGCAAACGCCAATGATGGTGGCGGAAAAGGAGGGTAGCGAGAAAGTCATTTCTCTACTTGAAATCAGAGGGTATGGCATGGGAAGGAGACAGCGAACTAGTCGCTGCTGCTTGTGTTGATATTTCCATCTTGACACTACACAGGCACAACCTACAGAGGAAGAATATCAACATTAGAAATTGGACATGGGCATATAGTTCGAAAAGAAATAAGTGCAGCAAATTTGTTCATTCTTACGGTAAAGATGGTTGACTTAGGCGTCTTATAGTTCCACTTGCATATTGATTTTGGAAACAAATATCCTTCACAGTGCGTGATATTATTATTGTTATTCCTTGTTCAGTAATTGGTTCAGAGATATTAATATATTTGATGGTTGCACTGACAGGTTACATGTCTATACAAATATTAAATGATATTCTTAAGAAAAAGCTTTAATTTGCGTATAGATAGGGGGCAGTATAAACCTTGCAAACCCATCATGGACTACAGTGAAAGCATTTTTTTCAAAAAGTTGGGTCCATGACTAGCAAACGCAACCTTGAAGAACCATGGACAGACTCCTTAATTAGAGAAGGTATTGACTAACACTTTGAAGGCCAGGCCTATACCTACATATGGATGCACATTTGTGACAAACTCCAAAATGACCTGCCTACCTGCCTGCCTGCCTGCCTGCCTGCCTGCCTGCCTGCCTGCCTGCCTGCCTGCCTGCCTGCCTGCCTGCCTACCTGCCTGCCTGCCTGCACTACCTGCCTGCCTGCCTGCCTGCCTGCCTAATTCCTGCCTGCCAGCCACCAGCCAGCCAGCCAGCCAACCAACCAGCCACTGGAGCTCACCCGAGGTGTTTGGCCTCATCCTAACGAGGTACTGCCCAGTCACAGCTGCTGGACTGTGACATATAGTCACAGTACTTTGTCTAAGTTTACTGCACGTTGCTGTACCCGCAACTACGTGTTTGCACGTGGCCACCATCTAGTATTCTACCAACGGGTTTGTGGGTTCTTTTCAGTGCACAGGCTTGTGTACTGTACACTAGGGGTTGTGACAACACGGAAAGAGTCTGCACACAAAGTTGACTCCAAGGTTTTTTACACCTGGTCACAGGTGGGCTCCATCCTGGCACCTCCAAGCTCGCTGGATTACTAGCCTAGCGCCTTAGACAGCTCGCCCACCGCGTCTTGATCCTGCTTAGTGACGAACTGACAAGAACTAAACACAACTTTGCATGCAGCTTTCTAATCACAAGGATAAATCCCTCACACATCCAGTTGGTCATAATTTGGACATATTTACATCAAGAGAAACAAGAAACAGGTGTTTCACGACCCACTGGACTACCATTTCACTGGCAATAGTCACGTCTCAGGAAATATATTGCCAAAAAATATTAGAGGTCAATACCATTCAACCAATTTCTACTTAGTCCTACTCACCCTTTGTCGTGGTTAATAACAGCTGATTCAACTTTGCTGCATAGTATAGATCTTCCGGTGCAGATATCATAGAATCCTAGAAGGGACATTGTCCCATTGAAAATGCCATACCCAACCAAAGAGCAACATTGTGGCTAACAGAAATAAAACGATGTTGAAGATGACTATGATACACATTTATTTAACTTATTAGCTACCAAACCTTTTCGAGTGATTTGTCAGAGAGATTACTCAAACACACGTTGGATATCTGACAGTGAACACCTGGTGTCATAACTGATTTCAATTGATCCATTTGTAAATCTTCCATCACCGTTTGTCTTTCATGTTGTTCTGGCAGATATCCATGTCTTATCATCCTGTTTTGTACTTTGGGCAACGCCATCGTGGTCATTTCAGTTTTCTTGTTGCTATAGGGGCGGTGGGGTGGCCTAGTGGTTAAAGCATTGCCTCGTCACGCCGAAGACCCGGGTTCGAATCCCCACATGGGTACAATGTGTGAAGCCCATTTCTGGTGTCCCCCGCCCTGATGTTGCTGGAATATTGCATAAAGCGGCGTAAAACCAAACTCAGTCAGTCAGTCAGTCTTGTTGCTATATGTTAGCATAAAATATTACAAATTTATAAGCAATGTTATTATTACATCACAATGTCTCTGTTCAGCTTCAGTTGAAGGTAGTGATAAGGCTTGCTGCTACACTTGGGAGTCTTGGGCCATAGAAACAAAGAGCACTGATCATGAGCTGAATTTGATGGAATGACAAAAATAACCAGTCTCACATCCTCTCTTAATATATTTTATTCCAGTACAACACATATTCTGCACATGCACAGAGTGTCAGTTTATGGCATAGAAAAATAGCTAGAAATTATCTCCTACATCTGCATGGAACTTGAAAGCACATCTCAAGTGTAGGTCATTTGCAACAGTGATGCACCACAGCAACCATCCATACTACAGCCTCCCTACATATCCCTGACAATACAACCATCTATACTACAGCCTCCCTAGATATCCCTGACAATACAACGACATTCATTACATGTACTCCTAAACCTGGGTCTCTGGGACACAATCCCTCAACTATACATCAACAGTGTTACGACTGTCATGGAACTGTGTCCCAGTATAGACAGTTGGTGTTAGAAACTGCTTCTCTTGACCATGCATTCCGTCAGAACAATCATTTATTTCAACTGAAAATATCTTTCTAGAGGTTTTGTAGCTTATTACGCTGTGGAAAATAAACAAAAAATATTTTTACTTTGTTTTGTAATAGCAATATTAACATGCTAATTGCCCTGAAAGAAAATGTTCGTAAATTTTTCAAATTGTACATTTCCTCTTTTATGAGAGAGTAATTTATGTCTTGAAACAGTGAATGACAAAAGAATCCGGTTTCTATTAAAATTTTACCAAAATAACTAATGGTTGGTCCCAATTTTGGAAAATTATGAAAATTTCTAGGAAAATTATATTAATATTGCATTCTGCATAGGTGCAGACTTCATGCTGTGTTGTCCTCTTGTTACCGGCGTGCTGGTTTAGACAAAGAGTTCCACATTCCTGTCTCGTTGACACCGATATGAACTTCCAGTGAAGATCACCTGACAATACTTATAAGAACACATACCATGTACTACAGGATCTATGCAAATCTCACAACAAGTCCAGGTACTCATTGAAAATGTTTGCATAGTAACATTCGGTAACTTACAAATCAGTGAGTAAACATGATATTTAATCATTCATGTTTCCAAAATCCTGAATACAGCCACACAAAGTTATTGTATTGTGTTAGAACGATTTTGTTAAAAACACCATCTTGTAAAATCCACTGTTACACTATTGCTTGATTATTGTGTAAGTTTGGCCGAGGATACACCATCTTGTTCGGTTTCCATGACAACTACACACAATGTATGTACAGATTTAATCTGAAGTATGGAAAACAACCAGTGAATGGAATGTATGATATCACAAATGCTTTAAATCTTCAAACACTTCACCTGATATCCTCTCATACAATATTACATGACTTTTGGCACAGGCCAGACTTTGTACAAACCTCCCAGAAGTGATCGAGTGAGTTGGGTTTTCCGCCACTTTTGGCAATATTCCAGCAATATGATGGCAGAGGACACCAGAAATGGGCTTCACACATTATACCCATGTTGGGAATCGAACCCAGGCCTTCGGTATGAATGTGGGTGTGGGTGTGGGTGTGGGTGTGGGTGTGGGTGTGGGTGTGTCAGTCTGCTTGTGCAGGACAGACAGAGACCGCACTCCTTATTCTCCAGGCATCATGGTCTTCACCTTGCTGGGAGGTCTGTGTGAATGACTATCACATTAAACACAAGCAAGCTTGCTAAACAAACATGTCAACTAAATACAATTTCCTCGCAGCAACACTGAGTATTTTCATTTGTTATAAACACTGGAACCACCTTCAAGAATAATATTTACATATCGCTCCTATCACTCTCATTATGGATCATCTTTTTAGGATCAGTAAAATTTGATAAACAAGAAAACTTTCAACATATTAAGTTTATGCACATAAAATTTCAAACGATTTGATTTGACATAAATAAAATACTGCTACATGAACTGTATGTCATTTGTTTTGAACATTATTGAACTGACAAACTGTCATGAAGACGTATTTTCATAAACATTGACATACAAATTATATTCTGTACATGAGATAAACTCTTCTGAATTCTTACAGATATCAGAATGTGCTTATTTCACTATTACATGTCACATTTCAGCCTTAAAATCTCACATTTGCTGAGGGCATTGTTTTGTGTAATTAGAAATATTGAAATATGTCCAGGAATCATTTATGAAACAAAATCAGTGAAGTGACATTAAAATAACCCTAACCATCTGCTGACATTATATTATATAACTCAGACAAACACTCATTCTTGTCTGAGATTCTCACTAACCTATTCCAAGCTGCATCTACAAGCATATCGTGTCCACACAGTAACACAATGTACCTGTTCCTTCATGCCCACCTCCGTCGTCAAGATGTGTGCATGATATACCTGTAATCTGCAGATGTACCTGTATCTACATGCCCACCTCTGTCGTCTACATGTGTGCATGATGTACCTTTAATCTGCAGATGTACCTGTAACTACATGCCCACCTCTGTCGTCTAAATGTGTGCATGATGTACCTGTAATCTGCAGATGTACCTGTATCTACATGCCCACCTCCGTCGTCTACATGTGTGCATGATGTACCTGTAATCTGCAGATGTACCTGTATCTACATGCCCACCTCTGTCGTCTACAGGTGTGCATGATGTACCTGTAATCTGCAGATGTACCTGTATCTACATGCCCACCTTCGTCGTCTAAATGTGTGCATGATGTACCTGTAGCCTATTGTGTCCCTTATTAAGGCATGTGGAGAATGTCGTGTAAATATATAATGTCACGTTATAAATACAAACTATACAAGTAATATTTAGCATTTCAGCCTTTGATGAAAATACGCGGCAAGCTGGAACCCGGGTGTTGCTCGTGTCAAACAGATCTCACAAATAAAACAACAAAATATGACTGGGAGAAAACCGTCAGACGAGGAAAACCATTGAAACAAAAGAAGGAGGACTAATTGCCAACAGGAGTTAAAACATTGTGACATATATCCTCTGTTAAGAGCCTCCGTATATTATGGGATGCATGTACAGGTTTAAAAGAGCCAAAATCTTTGGTAGGTACAGGAGTATATTTCATGACTTAAGGTTGCAACTGAAACACCTCTGGTGAATACATTTGTATATTTCACACTGTGGTCAGTCGCCACAAGAGACTGGACACTAGGGATGCAGCGACTCACGCAGACCTCGATTCGAGTTTTGATATTGGACCCTCGATTTGATCATTTTTCGATTTGATTCTTCATACAAAAACATCAGATTTCATTTTAACTCTCAGAAATTATTAAACAAAACGTATCACATTGATAACCTTTCTTCAAAGATTTTACAAAGGAAATCAGGAATGTAAATGATGTAACAATTAAAAAAAATATATAATACGATGTTTAAAAACAGAAAAACACTTTGGTATTGTCTACTATCAACAGTTCTCATTGGATAATTAGTCCAGCATCAACCAATCACGTTTCGCCTAATTTAAGCGCTGTATGGGTTGGAGTCAAAATTACATTCTCTCTTTGTGGAAATAATTTAAATAGATATTCAAATATCGAATCGAAATAGTGATATTATGCTTATCAAAACTCAAACTAAGGGTGTCAGATTTGATTTTCGATCACACCGAATCGTCGCAGCCCTACTGGACACCACCGTTAAAGGTACTGATTTCTCACCATTATTTCTTACAGCCGTGGCAATGACTAAGCAAAGACTCCTTCTTGTGACACAGATAACATTAACAATAAGATGCTATATATTAAGGCTGAAATACTGTGTACATCTAGATCCAGATCCACAGACCGATGCCAGTCTTCATGTAAGTCTTGGTAAGGAAAGGCAGCTTTGTGGAACGGTATTCTGGGATTCTCTCAACACAGCAGCTGGCTGTTGTTGGTCCCTGTGCTATAGGACTATTCAAGGAACGTTCCTGGTGTAATACAACTAATGCTGATTCAGATACTGACAGTATAACAAGCCATCAAAACTGAGAAACTAAAATATAACTGTAAAGGTGAAAAAGTGTAAAACTTGTAGCATGTCAAAGTACATGTAAATGATGATTAGAAATTAGTTGTTGTCATCTTACCTTTGTACACAGAGTTTAGGTTTAAGAACTGACTACAGTGAGGTTCCGTTAAAGCTCCGTTAATAGACTAGTTGCCCACCTGTGACACTCTGGTGATGCTCGGAGTATGCTCCGGTGATACACGGGTGAGCTCTGGTTACGAACTAGTTACACACCAGTGATGCTCGGAGTATGCTCCGGTGATACACGGGTGAGCTCTGGTTACGACCTAGTTACACACCAGTGATGCTCGGAGTATGCTCCGGTGATACATGGGTGAGCTCTGGTTTGCGAACTAGTTACACACCAGTGATGCTCGGTAGTATGCTCGGTGATACACCAGGGTGAGCTCTGGTTACATGAACTCTGAGTTACACACCAGTGATGCTCGGGGTATGCTCCGGTGATACACGGGTGAGCTCTGGTTACGACCTAGTTACACACCAGTGATGCTCGGGTATGCTCTGGTGATACATGTGTGAGCTCTGGTTACGAACTAGTTACACACCAGTGATGCTCGGGTATGCTCCGGTGATACATGGAGTGAGCTCTGGTTACGACCTAGTTACACACCAGTTACACCTGTATCATGTTCCGGTAATACTCTGGTTATACTCATTGCTTAACAACTACTCATAATTACATTTATTCAAACCTGTTCTTCCAACTGGCATATAAAATATAATGGATCAACTTCAGGGCAATGTGCAAGAAGAATACCCGTGGACAAACAGACGGTGGACTGTAATAAAACAGCATTAAAGAGAGATTCCCTTGCCAGTGATAGTTCATAAGATAAGAAACCTTCAATAAAACTGTAAAGTCTTCAACAACACACAGATAATCAGATCAGCGGACATGGCTACATCCTCACTCATGTTTGATTCAGATACAAACTTGATTGTAGGGCTGCGCAACATAACCGGTTTACCGGTATTTACCGGTTCAGACATGAAAACGATACGTATTGCGATACGCTGATCGAAAACCGGTATTTTGACATGCATTCGGAAAACTTCGTAACACTCTAAAATCTTCGGATATTTTCGCTTTTTAAATTGTTCTTTTCCTTGTTTCATTAGTGCCAAATATTACCTACATTTTTGTTGTTGTCATGATTAAAAGTTTTTATTAAAGGTTAATCAATCATAGTCATTTTGTTTGTGTTTTTGCTTTATAATCAAGCATTAACTCGATTATAATTAGTTTTGTTAAAAATAATTCTTGCAATATATTTCAATACATATCGCAATATATGCTTTCGCATCGCAATATATCACAATATCGAAATTCTCTGCAATACCCATCCCTACTTGATTGCATTACTCATGCCTGATTAGCATCCTCAAACAGTGAAAAATATATAGAATACCTGTATGATATGCAAATGTTCTAATAATACTTCATCAATATTTTAAATATGTGCACCATATAAAACACCTTGAGTCCACACACATGGCTCTCTCACACACAATCTTTTGTTTTGTACCAGTTGGGGCAAAAAATTCAAGGAGGTGGTAGAACATTAACAAACAGCTTCCATGAATTATGAATTTCTATCAATGCATGAAAAGCCATCCAGTTGTCACTGGGACTTACAGTTTGGATGAAAAAGTTAAATACTGATTTTAAGCTTGGTTCAGCTTTTTCATGTTGACTGACTGACTAAGTTTTGGTTTTACGCCGCTTTAAGCAATATTCCAGCAACGTCACGGCGGGGGACACCAGAAATGGGCTTCACACATTGTACCCATGTGGGGAATCGAACCCAGGTCTTCGGCGTGACGTTTTCCTGCTGACACTCACAAGGATCAGTTGGTAACATCATGGGTATCAGAGCTTTGTATAGACAACTGTAACAACACCAGTTTCTAAAGTCATCACTTTGTACACAGATATGGTCCACCTTCGAGTCGCCTACAAATAATACAGTTCTAGATGACACGTAAATGTGAAACAAAGTTCCTCACTCCCTGAAGCCCAACCCCATCTCATGCACAATATAAAAAAGTAATTTTCTCTCATTCATGTGTTCATTTGTTCATAAACCAACTGATAGTAAACCAAAGTCTGTGTCTGGATTGACCACCACTATCCGTGAAGTCTGGTACTGGAGCTCACCTTCAAAATACCTGGTAAAACCAAAGGGCTAAACTCCACCACAGTGCACACAAACATCGCACACTGACCAAGGCAGCAGGACATAGCAAGTTGTAGCAAGTATCTTGTCATGCAGCGTTATCAAAGATCAACAGGTTCACCATACTTGCTGCAAACGCATACCATTGATCTACATATGACCAGTTTCTGGACGTTTGGTCATGAAAGTTTCACATCGGATCATATCAACAAGCAGTTTCTCTCAGTTGCAGACAGAAAGCCTCATTACCAATAATGGTCTCAAAGTTTTGATGATGAAAAGAAGTCATCTGGTTCAACAATCCCCTGTATTTTGTAAATATATTTTTTTTCTATCTGACAGTGATTTCCCTTTTTATAACAAGGAACAAATCGATGAACCCACTTCTCTTGGAATGATCCCATGTCACAACAGGTTCACACATAGAAAACTACTGCCTTTCTCAAAGATGGCTAGCGGACATTCAGTGACAAGAAACATAAGCTCACAAGGCTCTGTGTACCATGAGAACAAATACACATGATACACAGATAAAGATATTGCATCCAAACTTGTGTCACAAGAAAGACTATTGTCATCGTGACCGCTGTAATACTCCACTTCGTACTTACTGTCGGGGAAGGTGTTCCCATTGTGGTATCTACTGGAGTAGGGGTCGTTGTTGATGGAGCCATGGAGTACGATGAAGCGGGCTGGTTGACCACGCCGCCGTGGCCAGCACGTACATCCACCTCCTCCACTAGGTCCCCATCCGTCATGTTGTACAGCAGTTTCTCCTTCATATTGCGAGATCGGTGTCCCTGGGCGCTGCGGGCCGTGCTGTTCAGGGAGATGGTTTCAGGGATAAATGAAGTCCCATACAGTCGGATTCTGAAAGCAGAATGTCACATGTCTGAGGCTGTTACATCTTTTGTGCTATTCAGAAAGGTTCAGTGTCAATACTTATTGTATGTGATCAAACACAGTCCTTTTACAAAACTATTTTTAAGATTCTATTTGTTTGTTTGTATGTATTTGTTTGTTTGCACTAATGCCACACTCAGCAATATCCCAACTAAATTGCAGTGGTCTGTATATAATCTGGTCCAGACAAACCAGTGATCAACAATATGTGCATCAATTAACGATCGAACCAATGACATGTGTCAACCAAGTCAGCGAGTCTGACCACCCAATCCCGTTAGTCAGCTATTACGATAAGCCTGTGTTGCTGAAGACCAATACTAACCGGGACCTTCACGGGTCTGATGCATGTATAAAATTCAGAGGACAAACGCACAACCTGGCAGGAACCATTCCACACCAAATCCACTAAGTCCCATATCAGACGAAAAGTCACACCAGTATACCATTCTTCAACAACAGTTATATGATACAAACGTGGGCACACTTAACGAGGACAATGGGATTCAACATAATGGGATTCAAGTGTTGCACACACCTCTGTACTATAAACACTGTGATGATTATCACAGCTGACAAGACGTCCACGGTCACCCACAGGATCAGGTAGCTGGACGGTACCTGCAACAAACAAACCAATCTGTTGACTCAAGTGCTTCTGTTAATGCTTCATCCATGACAATGAGGCCATGATGAACACCAGTGGAAACAAAATCCTGTACAATGAGAACTGACAGGACTATGATTCATTTCTAAAACATTCAGAAAGTTTCAGTAAGTGGGTGGTGCCTTTCTGGGTGTGTTGATGGGTGTCTTGGTGGGTGTGTTGATGGGTGTCTTGGTGGGTGTGTTGATGGGTGTCTTGGAGGGTGTGTTGATGGGTGTCTTGGTGGGTGGTGCCTTTCTGGGTGTCTTGGTGGGTGTGCTGATTAGTGTCTTGGTGGGTGTGCTGATGGGTGTCTTGGTGGGTGTGCTGATGGGTGTCTTGGTGGGTGTGCTGATGGGTGTCTTGGTGGATGTGCTGATGGGTGTCTTGGTGGGTGTGCTGATGGGTGTCTTGGTGGGTGTGTTGATGGGTGTCTTGGTGGGTGGTGCCTTTCTGGGTGTCTTGGTGGGTGTGTTGGTGGGTGTCTTGGTGGGTGTGTGATGGGTGTCTTGGTGGGTGTGTTGATGGGTGTGCTGGTGGGTGTGCTGATGGGTGTCTTGGTGGGTGTGCTGATGGGTGTCTTGATGGGTGTCTGGGTGTGCTGATGGGTGTCTTGGTGGGTGTGTTGATGGGTGTCTTGGTGGGTGTGCTGATGGGTGTCTTGGTGGGTGTGCTGATGGGTGTCTTGGTGGGTGTGTTGATGGGTGTCTTGGTGGGTGTGCTGATGGGTGTCTTGGTGGGTGGTGATGGGTGTCTTGGTGGGTGTGCTGATGTGTCTTGGTGGGTGTGCTGATGGATGTCTTTGGTGGGTGTGCTGATGGGTGTCTTGGTGGGTGTGCTGATGGGTGTCTTGGTGGGTGTGCTGATGGGTGTCTTGGTGGGTGTGCTGATGGGTGTCTTGGTGGGTGTGCTGGATGGGTGTCTTGGGTGTCTGTGCTGATGGTGTGTCTTGATGGGTGTGCTGGTGTCTTGGTGGGTGTGCTGATGGGTGTCTTGGTGGGTGTGCTGATGGGTGTCTTGGTGGGTGTGTGCTGATGGGTGTCTTGGTGGGTGTGTTGATGGGTGTCTTGGTGGGTGTGCTGATGGATGTCTTGGTGGGTGTGCTGATGGTGGGTGTGCTGATGGGTGTCTTGGTGGGTGTGTTGATGGGTGTGCTTGATGGGTGTGCTGATGGGTGTCTTGGTGGGTGTGCTGATGGGTGTCTTGGTGGGTGTGCTGATGGGTGTCTTGGTGGCTGTGTGAGGTGTCTTAGTTGTGTTGATGGGTGTCTTGGTGGGTGTGCTGATGGGTGTCTTGGTGGGTGTGCTGATGGGTGTCTTGGTGGGTGTGCTGATGGGTGTCTTGGTGGGTGTGCTGATGGGTGTCTTGGTGGCTGTGAGTGTGCTGATGGGTGTCTTGGTGGGTGTGCTGATGGGTGTCTTGGTGGGTGTGCTGATGGGTGTCTTGGTGGGTGTGTTGATGGGTGTCTTGGTGGATGTGTTGATGGGTGTCTTGGTGGGTGTGCTGACAGTTCCGCCCTCAATGGTGTCGTGTGTCAACTCCTTGATGGACAGCTCCGCCCCTCCCTGGTGTCGTGTGTCCCCCTTCTTGATGGACAGCTCCCCGCTTCACTGGTGTCGAGGGTCCCCTTCTTCATGGACAACTACGCCCCTCACTGGTGTCTGTATGTCTCCCTTCTTGATGGACAGCTCCGCCCCTCATCGGTGTCTTGTCTCCACCTGCTTGATGGACAGCTCAGCCCTCACTGGTGCTGTCTGTCCCTTCCTTGTTGGACATCTCACCCTCACCGGTGTCGTGTGTCCCCCTGCTTGATGGACAGCTCCGCCCCTTACTGGTTTCTGTGTGTCCCCCTTCTTGTTGGACATCTCCTTCCCTCACTGGTGTCTTGTCTCCACCTGTTTGATGGACAGCTCCGCTCCTCACTGGTGTGTGTCCACCTTCTTGATGGACAGCTCCACCCCTCACTGGTGTCGTGTGTCCCCACCTTCTTGATGGACAGCTCCGCCCCTCACTGGTGTCGTGTGTCCCCTCCTTGATGGACAGCTCCGCTCCTCACTGGTGTCGTGTCTCCCCCTGCTTGATGGACAGCTCCGCCCTCACTGGTGTCTTGTGTCCCCTGCTTGATGGACAGCTCCGCCCCCTCACTGGTGTCGTGTGTCCCCTGCTTGATGGACAGCTCCGCCCCTCACTGGTGTCGTGTGTCCCCTGCTTTATGGACAGCTCCACCCCCTCACTGGTGTCGTGTGTCCCCCCTTCTTAATGGACAGCTCCGCCCCTCACTGGTGTCGTGTGTGTCCCTTGTTTATGGACAGCTCCGCCCCTCACTGGTGTCTTGTGTCCCCTTCTTGATGGACAGCTCCGCCCCTCACTGGTGTCGTGAGTCACCCTTCTGGACTTGATGGACATCTCAGCTCCTCACTGGTGTCTTGTCTCCCTTCTGCTTCATGGACAGCTCCGCTCCTCACTGATGTCGTGTGTCCCCTGCTTGATGTATATCTCTGCTCCGCCTCACTGTTGTCGTGTGTCCCCCTGCTTGTTTCCTCACATATTAACCCTCAATGGTGTCGTGTGTCCCTTTCTTGATGGACAG